AATATATACCCAAATAAACTCAACAAATCCCCAAATAAATTCAAGAAGTACCCAATTAAACTCAAGAAATACCCAAATAAACTCAACACTGTTCTTCCATGATTGGCTTAAAAGTGCAGTCCAAAGTATCTCATTCCTTGGTGAATCCCAAGGAGTTCAGTGGGACCTGCTCTTGAGTCAACGTCTTCAGCATTGAAAGCAACACAGGGGGCTTCCCCCCTCTCCAGTTCTTCCCATCAATTGCAGCCAAACCCCCTGCACGGTTTCCTCTTGAGGGCCTTCCAGGTAGAAACTTCTCCTTCTTCTCCCCCCAGATCTCCGCCCTGAAAAGCCGGTTGAAGAAGGTCTCCATGACCACAGGAGATGGGGTCGCCAGAGCATTCCTGAAAGCCCAGGCTGCCTTTTTCGGGAGCTATCGAAATGCCCTGAAGATTGAGCCAGTAAGTATGAAGGACAAATCTCTTGACATTGAAGAGAAGACCAGGTGTGGTTGTGTGGTGTTGAATAGAATCAGAATAACAGAGTTGGAAGGGACCCCTGGAGGTCTTCTAGTCCAGCCCTCTACCTAGGCAGGAAACCCTACACCACTTCAGAGAAATGGTTATCCAATCTCTTCTTAAAAACTTCCAGGGTTAGTGCATTCACAACCTCTGGTGGCCAGCTGTTCCACTGGTTAATTGCTCTAACTGTCAGGAAATTTATCCTTAATTCCAGGCTGCTTCTGTCCTTGATTAGTTTCCATCCTTTGCTTCTTGTCCTGCCTTTTAGTGCTTTGGAGAATAGCTTGACTCCCTCTTCTTTGTGGCAGCCCCCTGAGATATTGGAACACTGCTATCATATCTCCCCTAGTCCTTCTTTTCATTAAACTTCCAAGAGCCATTGGAACCCGTTTCCCACAGAAAAGAAAACACCGGAAGCTACAAAACCTTTCCTCATGCCTGACTACTGTATTTCCTAAGCGGCCACAAAACTATGTAGTTGAATTAAACGTTCATATGTAGTTGAATTAAACGTTCTGTTTTTTGTTCTTCTGAAACTTTTCTTGAATTTACCCATGGTTGGCCTACCGGGAGTCAGAAAGCTCAATAAATCATGTGCTGGCAGGTGTCACCCATGTTGGTGGTTGTGATGCATATTTTGAGTGACAGGGAGCTGCAGCAGAGGGATGAAAGAGCCACAGGCGGCTCCAGAGCTGCAGGTTGCCAATTCCTGAACTAGCCATGCCCAGTTCCTGCAACCCTTCATTGTATGTTTTAGCCTCCAGTCCCTTAATCATCTTTGTTGCTCTTCTCTGCACTCTTCCTAGAGTCTCAACATCTTTTTTCACATCATGACGATGTGTGTGTGCGTGTGTGTTTCTTCACAGCTCAATAAAATGTCAGGTGTGAGCATCGTTGCTGTGGGGACTTGGATTCCCAGTCATGTAAGTAAGGATTCTGGGCATCATCCAAGTTGACCATGTCTCCTTCAGCAACTGGTCTGGAAACCCACCTCTTTTTCTTCTTCAGGTGACCTGGTACCTTGTAGGATGAGGGTGCCTCTCAGGTTGCCCATGGCACCTTAAATCAGGCTAGTCCATCACTGTAGGGTTTTTCCTCTTGATGTGAATGTGGTTACACACCTTGAGTTGGATTGCCCTCGGATACCAAGATGTTGTGATTGCATCCAACAATTGCTATTGTTACTGTTCATTCTTGTTCTTCTGGTTTTCATCCTCTGTTGGCCATCCAGAGACGCCCTTGCAAAGTGGCAGCCATATTAGAATAGAATAGAGCTGGAAGGGACCTTGGAGGTCTTCTAGTCCAGCCCGCTGCTCAAGCAGGAGATCCTATACCATTTCAGACAAATGGTTATCCCATCTCTTCTTTAAAACCTCCAATGATGAAGCACCCACAATTTCTGGTGGCAAGTTGTTCCACTGGTTAATTGTCCTCCCTGTTTGGAAGTTTCTCCTCAATTCCTTCTCTCCTTGATTCGTTTCCATCCATTGTTTCTTGTCTTGCCTTCTGGGGCTTTGGAAAATAATTTGTCTCCCTCTCCTTTGTGGTAGCCCCTCAAATATTGGAAGACTGCTATCACGTCACCCCTAATTCTTCTTTTCTTTAGACTGGCCAAACCCAAAACCTGCAGTATATCCGTGTGTTTATTAACTAATTAAAGTATTATAGATACTTGAAGGACTGATCTGAAATTGAAACACAAGCGGGAATTGTGTTCAGTTGGTCTTGCTGTGGAGAAGAGGTTTTGTGGTGCTTTGTTTGTGGGAAAAGCTTTTGAAATCTCCTGGATGTACAAGGAAGAAAGTTGATCAGGAGTTGGCTCTGTTGCGATGGATGGATGGATGACTGGAGGGGCCTCAAGAAGAGGAGGGCAGTGATTGTGTAAGAAAATTGGGGCCCTGATCTGCTAAGTATGATAGATTCAAACATGGAAAAAAAAAAAATCAAGATTTAATTTTGCATATCATAACTGCAGCCAGAATAATCTACGCACAAAACTGGAAACTGTCTTCCATTCCTTCAGAGGATATGGTAATTTAAAAAAAATACATGAATGCGCTGAGATGGATAACCAAACTGTTAAAAAATAAACAAGATAGTGATTATTATGCAATGTGGAACGTTTGGTATGAGTGGTTAAAGAAAAGGTAATATTTGATATTTGGATAAGTTATGGACAAGGCAGAAGACGTGCATTTAATCACAAACTATATAGAGAAATTAAAACATTAAAAGAATGAAGGAGTTATTGTAACAAGGCAGATCAATCACGTCAATGATAAAGATAAAGAAAAAAGAATTAACCATTGCTCAATATATGCTGTAAAATGTGTGTGTGTGTGTGTGTATTGATTTGTCTGTTTTAAATGTATGTCAAATAAATGTTTTTTCTAGAATAAAAATTAATTATATATTTAAAAAAAAAGAAAATTGGGGCCCTGGGCATACATTTGCTCACGTTTCAGAGGTGTTTTTGGTGAGTGTTGGCAGCTCAAGTCCTGCCTCTCTCCTCATCCAGCTGGCCTTTGAGTCTCTCTTTCTTCCCAAATTCTGGCAAAATCCATCTCTTGGCCCTGCAAGTGAAGCCAAGTGCCACTCCAGAAATACAACCATATGCATTTTGTGGCTTCCTTTTTTTTTTTTTTTTTTTGGTTAGCTGTGAAATGCTAAAGGTTAAAAAGATCTTTCAGGCAGTCTTCCACACAAATAGTCACTTTAATTGCTTAATATTGTGGCATTTTAAATATTTATAGCCGTATCACATGCTGATGGTGGAGGACCGAGGCAGTGGGCAACTCTGTAAACTTTTTTCCCCCTGGTGGGGAAGAGAGGCCCGTTGTGTTGGCCTTGAGTGCCACCTGGTGGCCAGAAGTGGCCCGTGATTGTGGGATTCGGCAAAGGCTGGAGGGTCTCTCTTGCAGGCAGACCCAGGAATCGTTTGGAAAATGAGCAGGATCTGCAATCTTGGAGACCTGGAATGAAGAAGTCTATGCACTGTCCCTGTCAGAAGTTTGTCTAATAAACTCAGATTAAGCAATGAGACATGATCCTGGCTTGTCCAGAAACCCTAGCAAAGCCAACCTCCTGTATTTAAGTTTTAGCTGTATCTATACCTTGTCTTCTCCAGGAAAGGATGGTTTCTTCCTCCCTCTTTCTATCCCTCGAAACCATCTCCAACAAACGTTGATAACTTGGTCTTCTGCTTTCTAACCAGCTTTTATGTCTTTACCTATCATTTCTTACCACAATCTTCTCATCCTCTGGAGACCTGCTGCCAATAACACTTGATTTGGAAGGAGGTATCTTGGTTTGTGGGGAGTTCGGACTGTTTGTAGATTCTTTGTGGCTTTTTCCTAGGCTCAGTGTGAGAGGAGGAACTGACAGGGACCTCCTGTTGTGGTCCTGCCAGTGGCCAGTGGAGCTGGCGGTAGACTCGGACAGGGAGGAGGTTGGGGGCGAACATGGGTCAGTCCTGGAGTCTGGGGAAGGCTTTGAGGAGTGGTCTGTGTCGGAGGCAGAGATGGGGCCAGGGCCGTTCAACAGTTATCAGCTGCCTTTGGAGTTGGAGATCAGTGGGGCAGAAGAATAGCTGGAGCCTGTTCATGATGTGCACATGCACAGAGCTGCCAGGAGAAGGGAACAGTTAAGGAACAAGGGTTGACTCAGGAGTAAAGGCACAGGTGGACGGGGAATGGCCCCTCCCATAGTGAATAAAGAGGAGTGAAAGGGGAGTGGGGTTTGCAGGAGACAATTAGCTCAACTCATTAAGGTGAAGATCTGTTCCTGACTTCTTGCCAAGTAATTGCTGCTACAGTGTGGTGTTTGGAAGCTATTGGCCTGGCCTGATAAAGCCTCCGAGTCTGATAAAGGTCTGTAGTTGTGAAATCCCATGGAAGACGGTTGGTCGGAACTTTGCTGGATGCGAATGATAGGAATTCACATTTAGCCAAATCAAAAGGGGTTTTGTCGGGACGAGGGAGTCTGCTTCGTGATTTTGGAAAGCCATGGTCAGAAACACCTCCCCATTCTAAGATGATGGCGTGCAAGATGTTCTGAAGGCCACCATGTTTCTCAAAAGGCAGGCTGTTCTCGATCTAACATGGTTTTCCAATGCTTCATTTCCCACGTTGGGGTGGGTGAGATCTGGCTACTTCTGACCATCATCCTGTAACGGACAAGGTTTGATTATTGCAAGAGGCGACTTTGCAAGCGCTGCTAGACGTTCAGGGGCTCGGCTGTTGTTTAACAACACAACCATGTTCAAGCTTTTATCCCCGGGGCTAATTTGACTTTAAAATGACTGTTATAATTCTTTAATCCCCGCGATTTTATACCTCTGTCTCCGCAGGATCCCACTTTCGCTGTTAAGTCAGTGAATTTTAACATCTGTGCCATTTTTATGGCATGTGTTGGATGCACACAATGCCACGAAAGGTACTTTCTGCCTGCAGCCTACAGCCTGCTTAGTTCTTCTCATGGGGGCAACCTTTCCATGTCCTTTTAGTTTCATTTCTGCAATTATAATAGAGGGGAGACATTGTCTAATAACCTTCATTCCTCCTCCTCCTCCCTCTTCTCCTTCTCTATCTTCTTTTTTTTCCCCCATATCCATCTTCTCCTTCTCTTTTCCTTCACCTTCTCTTCTCCTCTTTCTCCTCCTCCAATTTTTCCTTCTCTCTGCTTTTCCTTCTCCATATCCTTCCCTTTCCCTTCACCTTATCTTCTCCTCTTTCTCGTCCTCCTCCTTCATCTTCTCCTTCTCTATCTTCTTCTTTTCCTTCTCCATATCCATCTCACCTCTTTTTCTTCACCTTATCTCTTTCTCCTTTTCCTCCTTCATCTTCTCCTTCTCTATCTTCTCCATATCCATCTTCTCATCTTTTTCTCTATCTTATCTTCTCCTCTTTCTCCTCCTCCTCCTCCTCTTCCTCTATCTCCTC